GAGTTGACATCCACACATCTTAGGGTTGCCAATGTTGAGAAACATGGCTTTAATAAATAAAAATGTGGGTGTCTGCTGTGTTGGCTTAACACCTTATACCCAGAGACAGTTTTCAGTTTCTCCTTTTGCCAACGACCCAGGATGCGTCTGTCTGTTGGACCTTTTTTTGATCTTCGGTTGCCTCCTCCTCTCTCCAGTTCCAGCATGGTGTGATTGTGGCAGCGGACTCGCGGTCGACGGCTGGGGTCTACGTTGCTTCGCAGACCGTCAAAAAGATCATCGAGATTAACCCGTACCTGCTGGGCACCATGGCCGGGGGTGCAGCAGACTGCAGCTTCTGGGAGCGACTGCTCGCCCGGCAGTGCCGCATTTATGAACTCCGCAACAAGGAGAGGATCTCGGTGGCAGCTGCTTCCAAGCTCTTGGCGAATATGGTGTACCAGTACAAAGGCATGGGCCTGTCCATGGGGACCATGATCTGTGGCTGGGACAAGAGAGGACCAGGTGAGAAAGCTACTTGATTCCTGAGGGCTTTCAGAATGCTTTATTCCCCTAGCTCCTGACCTATCCCACTAAATCCAAATCCAAATCAACGCTTCTACATTTCCTTCCCCCCTAAATATTTTATTGTAAAACATTATACTTGGGGTGTCTCCTAGCAGTTTAAGGCAGCTAGTCAGTAACTGAACAATGAAAGCTATTTTTTTTCAGGGTAAAAACAAGCCATGAAACCAATGTCAACAGAAAACAGCACACTGAAAGAATTGTGTTTTTAAAAGAGAGCTTTTTAAGAGAATGAAGCGTATGTACAGAATGCCTGTGTTTGTTTGAACTTTGGCTGTGAAGTCTTCTGAAAGTAAGGGGAGAAATGCTGTGCTGATGGTGATCAGTCATTGCCTGTAATTCATTTACATTTCATTTAGTGTTAGATTTTTATCCTGCCTTTTTAAATATCTAATTCAAGGAGGTGAACATACTTAATCCTGCCTTCTATTTTCTCCACAGCAACAACCCTGTGAGGTGGGTTGGGCTGAGGGAGAATGACTGGGCCAAAGTCACCCAGCTGGTTTTCAAGCCTAAGGGAGGCCTAGAACTCAGTCTCCTGGTGTCTAAGCCAGCACCTTAACCATTGCACCAAACTGGCTCCTTACATTTATGCTTCTATATCCAGTTCCTTAAAATTCCTTTTTCAGGAGTTTGGTATTCTTCTGTTCGTTCTTCTGCTTTGAGCTTATCTTCTCCAAACCAATATGTTATGTTGCTTTCAAAGGAGTGACTCAAAATCAGAGTTTCAATTTTATTTTGTGATATGATATGCAATTCTTTAAAAAGTTGGCTGAATTTTACTGGAACGGCCATGTGTCTGTCGTTGCATTTCTTTTCTTGACTTGCTTTGTGTTCTCTCTGAATGGCGCACATTTAGCTACATGATACTCTGCATAATTTTTAACAGAAGTGGAGCCCAGAGTTCTGTGGGGTGGATGAAATTTTCAAGTGGCCCCTTTGGAAAAAATGATAGGCTCTTTTTGAGATGTTGTAGTTTCAAGCCTCTAGCTGACTTTGGCTGGTCTCTACCAGTTAAGGTGGATCAGATCAGGTTTGTACTTGAATGGGGGATTACCAAGACATTAACTGGCCGTAGACAGGGAAATCAAAAACTCCTAGCGTTGCAGAGAAAGCGACATGGACATTTTCACAAGGTCACCAGGAGTTGACTATGATTTGGAGCTGATTCTATCTTCAATTTGCTCTTTTTTCCCCCCAGCAGAATGGCACACGTTAATGGGGACTTCATAGTTTATTTATTTAGTCTATTACCATGGCATCTTATCTTCTACCATAAATTTGAGGCATAGAACTCCTTTTCGGTATGCGCATTGCTGCTGTACATGACTTTCAGTGTACCTCGGCTATGGAGAAGCAGATAGGAGATAAGTTGTGAGGGTAGGGGCTGGAGCCCCCCTTGCTGCTGGGTGGCTCTAGTCTCCTGTGCTGATTCTTCTGGACTGGGCGGGTTTGCAGTAATCCTGGGGAGAAAGCCACCGATCTCACGTAAATTGCCATTACCTGAGTTTTCCCCCTGCCATCTCTAAAGCTCTTCTAGAAATCCTTGGAGCATAGTGTAAATAGATCCGTTTATATTAACTCCAGGGATGAAGCTGGCTGGTACTTGAGAACTACCAGAAAATGTGCATGAATGGGATTAAGACTGTACTCTGAAACACATGTATAGAATATGTATAGAATATAAATTCCACTGAAGTATGTGAAGCAAATGCATTTTGGACTTGGGATATAAACCTAATGCATCTTCTTCTCCCCTCCCCTCATTCTGTGCTGAAAGACTGTTTCTGAGCCCTTCATTACCTCCCTGTAAATATAGTATGGGGTCTCCCTCCATTCTCTATAAATCAGTGGTTCCAATTTTAGAGTCCCCCCCATGGATTTTTTTTTTTTTTTGGTAATTCCATAAATCTCTTTCCTTGTGTTCTCTTAAAAGTTTTCTTGAAGACCTACCTATCTTTCTGTTTACAGTATGGCTAATCCTGTAGAAAGCCACATCTCTGGTGTTTTGACTATTGTAGTATGCTGCCTCGCAAAAGATTAGAATGAAAGACTAGAAAACGACTGTGAAGAATTGGTCTGGGGTTTTTTTTTGGTTTCATTAGCAGTTTTGCAGGGCTGAATGGAGTGCAACATGCTGAGGTAAGAACATAAGCAGTGGCCTGCTGGATTGGACCCCTGGCCCACCAGGTCCAGCAGTCTCTTCTCACAGTGGCCAACCAAGTGCATGAAGAAGCCCACAGGTCTTGCAGTAGATGGTCTTCACGGGCAATCCCGCTGCCCTCAAGGCTAATAAGGCGATAAGAGCTCTAATCAATCCTGGGGGTGGCTGGCGTCCCGATGACCCTCCCTGAGCTACTCGCCAATTCCTTCGATTCTTGGAATTTATTTATTTATATGAGTGCTTTTATACTGTATTTTAATTGGCTTTATCTTCTCTGTAAACCGCTCAGAGTTGCTTTTTAAAGAGATGGGCAGTGACAGATTTGATATATAAATAAATAATAGCCATTATCCTCTTGGTCCAACCCTTTTCTGAGGCCAGCCAAGCTGGTAGCCTGCACCACATCTCATGGTGAAGAGATGAAAGAGGCCAAGACTTATCTCTGCAAGCCCCTGACAGTCCAGTTCTCACGTTACCTTCGGACATTCCACGCAAACGCAGTATCAAGGAATTGTGGGATTAGGATGGCAAAGTCTGGAGAAGCTCAGCTGATTTGAATGTGCTCCCCGGACAGCATGTTCAGAAAACTGCCCAGTTACAACCACGCCTCATTGTTTTTAGGAAGAATGAAAGGCACTCACTGTGGTTAAGGCCATTGTAGGGAAATTATGGGCTGTTTCATTAATCCTGGTTCCCTTGCCCTGTCTTTCAGGTCTGTATTACGTGGATAGTGAAGGGAATCGCATCTCGGGAACGGTTTTCTCGGTGGGTTCTGGTTCTGTCTATGCCTACGGAGTGATGGATCGTGGCTACTCGCATGACCTCTCTGTGGAAGAAGCCTATGATCTGGCCCGCCGAGCAATCTATCAAGCCACGTACCGTGATGCATATTCGGGTGGCTCAGTGAACGTGTACCACGTAGGCCCAGATGGCTGGATCCGTGTCTCCAGCGACGATGTATCTAACCTGCGTGAATTGTTCCGTGACACAGCCTCCGAAGCAGTGGCTTGAGACAATGGACTCGGAGCAGGGAGGGCAACAACGGGGGTCTATAAAGGTCACGTGCTGTAGAGTATTTTCAAAACTCGAGAAGCGAAATTGTAGTTCAGCTGTTAAAGAAGGGTAAGGCCCACGGGTTGCCCTTAAAATGGGAAGACGTTTGACCGGTATTTCATGTAATAAAAGCGTTCTGCTTGTTTGGAATTAAAAATTAAAACTTGGCTTGTCCAAGCCGTTTTGAGTCCTCATTTGAAGAATGGGAAGAGCAAGATGAATCTTGCTACTCCAGTCCCGGAGGGGGGGGGGGGAGATTGTTGGATTCTTGCCCCTGCAGAGTACTAATGGCTGTGGAAATGGGAATGACTGGGTGTGTGGGCTGGAGAGAAACATCTCTGGAAAGTTTTATTTCCAGGCCAAACAATCCTGTCAGCGTGCGTGGATGTGTTCTCAGGGGAAGGAACCAAACCAATTTCTTAACTGCTGTGATGATTTGCACTATGTCCGGACTGGTGATGTTTACAGTCCCATGCCTTAAATAACCCTGAGTTCTTTGCCTTTCTCAGAGAGGCCGTGCCCAACCCTCCTCTTCCTCTGAGATTGGCAGTGCCCTCGGCCAAGCATCCCCTTCCCATCCCTTTGCTGGTTCCCTTGGCACGAAGGCTGTGTGTGCGATGCAAAGGCCCTAATGTGAACGGAAAAGGTTACTGTAAGCTTCAGGGCAGCAACAGGGATGAACAGAACAAGGCGGGCCAAGCTTGTAGAAGAGGGTTTTTCTCTTTAAACAAAGGTTGCTTTTGAAGTGTCTTCTTCAGAGCTCCCTTCATGCTAGCTAAGAGGAATGAATGAAACCGGTTTACAAAAGGGTGGGAAAACAGGCGAAGGGTTTTGCAGAACTGCAAAGGGATGGAAGGGGAAAGCGCTAGGGAAGAAACAGCCGCCAAAAGAGGGCTGGGGCGTTTGTCTTGGGCGCAGCGCTCCCCGGCAAAATGCTGCTGGCGGGAGCCAGCATAGGAAGGGAATTGGGGGTCAAGAAGAGCCCAAGAAAACACTGAGATGAGTGAGGTGAAGATCAAGGGACGGTCTGGAAGAGCTGCTAGAGAGGAAACCATGAGGCTGAATGTGCGTCTCAAGGAGAGGGAAAAATTGGCAGTGCCCAGCTCTAGTAGATGTTCCCTGCGGGGGCCCTGCTCAGGAATGCGTGTGCAGCTCTGGTGTGTGTTCATGTGCGTGCAGGAGACTGGCCAATCAGGGCAGAAGAGGGAAGAGCACGGGGGTGTGGCGGTTGGCAGCAGGGTGCACATCTTCCCCCCTTTTTGCACACACACATGGACACACACGCGAATACAAAGAGCTGTACGACCTTCCAGTATCCTTTGCCCAGGGATGCGTGTGCGGGAGTGGGGATGGGATCAGGGGGAAACTGGGGACGGATTGCAAAGAGCGGGAGGGGGAATCCCAGCCCCCTTCCTTTGGCTTTGCCAGGGAAATACACGCCGAAGCCGAGGAGGCTTCTCTGGAGCAGAACGAGGGGAGGAGGACGGCTGGTAGAAAAGGTGTACATGAAGGTACAAAATGGCTAGACAGGCTGACGTGTACAGAGATACAGGGGAGGCTTGGAAGCGATAAAGAGGCGTACAGAAGCTCAGGACAATGGATGTTCGAGAGGATAGCATGGTTTTCATTACCCCACAAAGCACTTGGATTGCACCATTGGGTTTCTAAAAAAATGGGGTGGGGGGACGAGGATCTACCTTTCATGGTGGGCGTGCAGCGGTTCATCCCAAAAGGATAGGGTGATGGGCGTGCCGTGCCCGGGGAGAGAAGGCACCTTTCCCAAAAGCTCTAGAGAAAGAAGCAGAGAAGATTCCAGCAATGAGGCCCACTATGGACAGCCTTGCAGTATTTCTGGGGGATGTTTAACGAAGTCCGCCTTTCGGTCTCCATTTCAGCTCGCTTGGGTTTGCACGAGGCGATGGTTAGGGTTAGCGGGGCTTATTCAGTATCATTTGGAGCGGGGTCTGCTTTAATGGGTGCTTGTCATGTTTTCCCCCCAATCCATCTGCCAAAAAGCCACAAAGCTGTAAAGGAGGGTTTCTCCTGCTCCTCTTCTAGCCACTTAGAAGTACAGAAGCTGGTTATGGGAGCTGTTCTGGACTTTGATTCCACGGCCATTAAAAGAATAAATAAAGGTGTTTTAAGTGGATATAACCTGGAGGAGAATAGCAATGTCTGGCCACAGGAACCGGCTCGAAGTGACGCAGAGTAATAAATGGGAGGGTCTGTATTATACGGTGCAGCAGGATTGTGCTTGCAAGATGGGAACCCAGCTGATTGAGGCCCGAAGCCTAAAATAAAAAGAGCAATAAGCGAGCTTGGCTTGCAGGTGCAAATTAAATTTTATGGCTTGAAAGCTTTGGTTGATGTACAGGTATCCATCGGGGACTTTTCAGGGACCGGGGGGAGCAAGGGAGGGAGATTGCAAGGAAAAAAAAGTCTGAAATCCTGAGTTCAGACAGGGCCGATTCACGACGAGTATCCTTTCGTCAATTCCTTTATGGCAAAGCACGCCCCTGGCAAATGACCTTGGCCAGAATCAGCCATTTTGAAGCGTCCCGTCAAGGCACGTTGGGGAAATGTGGCAAGGATGCAGGTATATTTTATTTGCGGTCCTCTGCAGGGGAGGCGGCTAGGAAAACATCTGACCCTTGACTTGATCCCGCTGCTCTGAACCTGGTTCTATAACGGCCGCCTCCTGCGGGCTCAACACAGGAGGGAGCAGCCGAATCGCAGAGGCGGCCTTGCAAAGCGTCTGGCCTCGCAGATCTCCCGAAGGCGCCCCTTCTCCGTCTCGGCGGCTTTCCCCTCCCCTTCTCGTCTCCGGGGCAAGGCGCCAGGGCTCGCAGCCAATCCGATGCCTCCGGCTCCTGCGCCCCGGCCAATCGGAAAGGAAAGGGCGGAGACCACAGCCCTTCCCTTTGTACACGGCGGCGGGGCCGGCTCGCCCGCGCGCGCCTCGCCTTTCCCCGCGCTGCACACGCGGGATGGAACGTTGCGCGGCGCGGCGTTCCATTCCGAGCCCTGGAACGCGGGGCCGGAGCCGAGCGCGCGGCGTCTGAACCTGGCGACGCGGGGGCTCCTTTGCAAAGCCGCCTCGGGATCGCGATCCCCGGTTCCTGCCAGGAACCCAGGTTTCGTTCCCACGACGCGCTGCGCTCCCCGAACACGCTTCGGGAAGCCGTTCAGAGATGTAGCGCCTGCCTTCCCGCAATACCCTCCGCTGGCTAGAGTCATTTCCACCGTGGTTAGTTTAGGGTGCGCTGTGTTGTGCCCACCCAGAAACATCGGTTAACCCGGGAATCGGATGAAGCATGTCGTGTGAACTGAGCCGAAAGCTAAGCACGCGTACTCCGCTGACGTGCAGCTGGTTAATGGCTCAAGATGTTTTTGCAAAGGTAGTGAATAAACGGCAACTTATACCGGGGCCGCTGTTCTAGTAGACCGGCTCAAAGATCCCTCGGTAATTGCAAAGTTTTTAATTCTCCAGAACTTTTCCATCAAAGTAGGGAGAAAATGGAGTCCCGGGGCTGGGCGGGGGGGCAGACAAGGGACAAAAGGATCTTGAAGCTGCAGAGGTGCTGCGTAAAATATTATGTATAGGAATTGCAAAGCTCACAACGGTGAGGAATCTTGCTGGTCTCCGGGTGGAGCAGTCCGACTTACTCAGAAGCGTGATGGAATAATGTGCCGATGTGGCAGGCGTTTAATTTAAGCTTTATTGGGGTTTTCTGGTAGGTTCGGATTGTCCCTGGCGCCGTCCCGGAGCTGCTGAACAAACAATTAATGGTGAATCCCTTGTTTTTGAAAAGATGACATCCACCTGTTCCTAGGAACCGTCTCCCTCTCAGAGCTGAGTTAATTGCAAGACTCCGCTGACAAGACGCTCCGGAGGCTGCAAATAAAATTTACAAGAGGTCAGCTGTGAGTTAATAGAGTTTCCACCATAGCGCCAGAGCCAGACAATGCCACAATTCAGATGAAACGGCGGAGCAAGGCGACGCTCGGAAGCATCTGGAGGCTTCCTGCTTTGAGCGCCCGTTTAGTTCGGCACCAAGTTAGAAGCGCCTTGGCCCACTTCTAGCGGTTTCCGCTTCTGCCTGGGGTGCAGAGGTCGGGTAGGGATTTTTCTGCACCGCGAGAGGGGAGAGCCTTGGTCCGCGTCTCCGCGACGTTCTGAGAAAAGTCCTCCACAGCTGTCCTGGGATGAATGCCTGGCGCTGAGCCACCCTAATAAAAGTCCTTTATTTTCCTTGATCTTCTGTTCCTTCGGCAGCCCGGTGCCTTGTCTTGCGAGGGGGTGGGCCCCCTCCTGTTGCTCTCCAATCCAGACCGGGGCCATCTTGCCTTCTCCCGACTGCTCTCCCAAGTCACGGGGCTCCCATGTCGTTCAGCGCCACCATCTTGTTCTCGCCCCCCCACGCTAAAGAGGCCAAATGCTGCTGTTGCGCCTGCAAGCAGGAGCCGGGGGCTCCCACCCCTGCCCCACCGCCGCCTTCCCCTCCCTGCACCCCCATCACCATTACGGGGACCGGCTTGACGGTCCAGTCCTCGGAACAGCTTCTGCACGTCATCTACCAGCGGGTGGAAAAGGCCGTCGGCTTGGCCGAGGTGGCGCTGAACTTGGCGAAGGCCAACACCGACGCCCTGAGACGTCGGGAGGAAGACGTGGCGGCCCTGCGCCGGGGGCCGCCCGTTGCCTTCAAAGCCAGCCCCCTGCGCGTGCCCGAGGAGCCGCAAGAGGACCCCGAAGATGAGGAGGAACGAGAGGCTGAAAGCTTTGGGAACGGCGTCCAGGTGGTCATCGAAGAATTGCGGCAGCTGGGAGCAGCGTCGGCAGCAGTGGGGCGGCCCGAGCCCTTGGCCTTCTCGCCCGTGCCAGCCCTTGGCGGAGTACGTAGGCTGGAGTCGGGTGCCCCCGTCTCTCCTACCCCGTGAAATCCATGCTGTGGCCCTGTCCCTCCGGTCAGGCACAGATGGCATTATGAATAGTTGATGGCATCTCTCGCCTTCCCTGCCAACCAGCCCCTCCGGGGGAGGCATTCTGGGAGTCGCGCCAAGGCTGCGCTGCTGCCGCGTCCTGGGCTGGAGAGGCTGTGGCGAGAGCTAAAACCCCCGGCGTGATGGGGAGCGCAACCCCGATCTGGGAATGGGGTTGGTGCTCCTCGGGGCGAATGGAGAGCTTGGGCTGAGTTGGGGTTGGCAGCCAGGGAGCGCTGGGAAATTGTGTGGCATGGCGTAGAAAAGCGCGGTTGAGGCTCCCTGCCATTTGGGCTGGGCGTGATCTTCGTGGGCAGTTGGAAGAGGCTTTGTTTCCAAATGCGTGTTCGGGGCATCGTAGATTTCACATTTGCAGGGCATACCTGTTTAATGTCCAAAAGAAACTCCCTGTTTGTTATGCATGTGCCTAGGGAGACTTTACCGCAGTGTTTCTCTACCTTGGCCACTTTAAGATGGGTGGGCTTCAACTCCCAGAATTCCCCAGCCAGCCATGCTGGCTGGGGAATCCTGGGAGTTGAAGTCCACCCATCTTAAAGTGGCCAAGGTAGAGAAACACTGCGGTAAAGTAAGTGGCCAAGGTAGAGAAACACTGCGGTAAAGTAAGTGGCCAAGGTAGAGAAACACTGCGGTAAAGTAAGTGGCCAAGGTAGAGAAACACTGCGGTAAAGTAAGTGGCCAAGGTAGAGACACACTGCTGTAGGGGGTGAAAGGAAAGGCTGTGTCAAGGATACAGTGGCATGAAATGTAGGTTTCGAGGAATCGGCTGTTTGGAAATGCTGAAACAGAGGCAGTTGGAAATTGGAGCAAGAGGGAGGCTGTTGTTCAGGCACAATGTGTATAATTCTTCCTCTCCTCCCAGGTAGCCGAGGAATGCCCTCCAGGAGATGCCCCAATGCAACAGGTCTACGTTCCTCCCTCTTCTCCTACCCCGCCGATGCCTCATCAGCCCCCTCTACAACCTCTGGATGAGCCCCTCTCCTGTCCAGAGGTCTCTCCTATCAGCACGACCCATGAAGATGCCACGAACGGGGAACCCCATTTCTCCTTAGGCTTTGCCAGCCTCCCTTGCAGAAGCCGAAACCTTGGGCAGAAGAACGCCAGGCGTAAGAGGGACCTGGTGTTATCAGTGAGTTGACTTCCTCAGGGCAGAGCTGGTGGTCCTACAAGGCACCCAGCCAGGAACCACCTGGAAAGGTGGTCCGAATGCTGGGCTGTTTTTCATAGTTTGGGGATGGGGGCATCGTTCAGCTGAGATTCACGCTGTCCTCTCTTTCCTCCCCTAGAAACTGGTCCATAATGTTCACAACCAGATCACCAATGAAAAGCGGTTTGATGGCGCGGAAAGGTGAGCGTTCGTGGGGATGAGCCAATGTGAGAAGAAGTTGGGGTTTGCTAATTATTTAATTATCGCCTTGGGACCTTGCTTTCCTGTCAAAGAAGGATAACCTTCAGGGTGAGTTGGGCTTTCAAGGAGCCGCGTAGAAAGCAGACGCTCAGAGTGGTCTTTTTATCACTGCTACAGTCTGCGGGTCAAAATGGTGTTTCAGTGTACCATAATGCACAAACCCACCCAAGATTTTTCTTTGGTTTGTCTGTCCGCCTGCTTTCTTAAGGAAGTGGATCCCAACGTCTTCCCTTCTGATGCCCCCTTTATTATCAGTTGGGTCTGATTTATAGATTAATGGGCGTAGCACTTTATCAACCGGAGAGCGGTTCTTTGGTGTGAAGAACTGAAAAGCTATATTACGGCAAGGAAGGGGAAAAGGGAGATGCGTCTTGGTTTCACACTCTTAAAAGTTTAGTTAGAGTTGTAAAGGGGCTTTCCTAAAGACATCTTGGCCAGAATGTGTCCTAAACCATGGTTTGTACTGGTGATGCTCTAAAATTGAACAAGGAGCAAGAATCCTTTATGTGTTTGTGGAAGGTGGTGTCGGATGAGTGAGGGTCATAGTTTATGGAATCTATCAGAGCGTTAAGATGGTCACCAGAACATTTTCTCCAGATAGACTCATCCAGTGGTGCAAGGCAGACTTATCAGAGTAAGGGCCTTTTCAGTGGTACCACCCAACGTGAAATTCCTTTCCCACAAATTCTCGCTTAGCTCCTCCCTTAATAATGTTTTTAATGCCATAAAGGTCTGTGCTTTTCCCATACATTTTAAGAAAGCATTGGTGTTTTAGTGAGGTGTTTATTGTGATTTTATGCTTTTTTTTTTTTTTTCTGTTGTTTTTGCTGCTCCTAATTCTTGTCTCATCTGCTGTGCTGTTGACTTCTTTCCCTCTTTTGTAGCATTAAGTCTTCATGGAATATTTCTGTAGTGAAATTTTTGCTGGAAAAATTGAAGCATGAATTGGTCTCAAATCATCATAACTATACTGATAAGGAACTAAAAGGTAAGGTGGTGTTTGTTGAAATTTCCCACCCATTTTGTTTCTGGCTTTTATTACTAGAACGTACCCAACATTTATCTCCCCCCCACCAAAAAAATCTCCATCCTTTGGTAAACATTCAGAAAATTTTCTTCAACTTTGGAAATAGCTCCTGGCATTTATTCCGAAACCAACTGATGATATTTGAAATGTTGGTTGATTGGGTACATAAAGACATTTATGGAACAGCCTCTAGACCCTAATTTTGCTTTCCGTGTTTGTGATTTCTGTACACATAGACACAGACCCTTTTTCTTCTCTTAGGGGCCTGTGTGGCCTACTTTCTGACGAAGCGACGCGAGTATCGAAATTCTCTCAATCCTTTCAAAGGGCTTAAGGAGAAAGAGGAGAAGAAACTGCGTAGTAGGCGCTATCGGGTAAGGCATAGCAGACAGCGGAGGACCAATTCCACACATTTATTACCTCATTTTTTCGTCACTTTTAAAAGCCAATATAGACTTCCATCGATTTTATTTCAGGATGTCTGTAAACAAAAATGTTAAAGCTGGCACTGATGTGAAAGAGGCAATTGCACCAATATTCTCACTGAAATCTATAAAGGAAAAGCCATTTTTTTCCCTTGCAGGTGAAGGAATAAGGGAGGTTTGGCGAGCTAGCTAATAAGGGGCACGTTCTTTTCAGTCGGTCAGGCTACTGAAATTACAAAAGGCCGACGTTGAAATTAAATCCTATCGGTTTCATCCTACAAAATATTTAAATGTGAGCTGATCTCAAGCTTCTTCACGAATATAGGCAAATTCTCCTTCTCAAGTCCATAAAATGTCGGTCTGCTCTTCAACTTGGCCTTAACCACATTTATTTTCAAATGCAAACTTCTTCTATTTTTACACATTTCTTAATTGTATTTACTGAGGTGTCAGTTCTATTATGTTCATGAGATGACACACACCTGTCTGGCGCTCTATCAGTGTTACATTGGGATTAAGCCTTATTGGATTTAATTTAGATTTAGTCATCCTCCCCCCTGCTTTGCACCTACATTTACAGCAGTGTTGTCCAAACTTGGCCACTTTAAGATGAGTGGACTTCAACTC